TTTGTCGAAGCTTCTCCTCGCAACGTGAGCTTCCGCATCGTAACGAGCTTACGAGCTGAGCCGCAGCATTCCGCTGACACGTTCCGTAACGACGATAAATAAAAATGTGATTTCCGGCACGATACGAGCGGTTTGTAACTTGATTATTGTGTTGGATGCATCGACGGATTTGATATCGGGACGAGAAACAGAAAGGAAATTAATATTTGAAGTGAGATTATTGGAACTCGCGTTAGATTGCTGCATGTGCAACACGCAGCTTAATCATTATTATATCATTTGGCGTATCAATTTATTAATCCAATTGAAATCAAATTATTTTGAGTCAATAGTTTTATTTTAATTAAATTTCCGTAATAAATACTTAAAATAAGATTTTATACAAAAATTATGATTATTTATTAGTATTTGATATATGTATAAAAATTTTTAAATTACATTATTACAAATAATGTAAAATATTTTGAAATATTATAAATGAGACTTGGAATGTTCTTTGTACCTGTTTTTCATATTTGTTGCAATTATTGGTTTATTCTTTAGCGATGAGAAATTTTTTATTTCTTTATAATATTTTTATAAAAATTCCACGTGATTAACGTTCCTCTCTGCGAAATTTAGTTTTTGGATTGCGTTCGATGGAAACTGCGTGCCGCTTTTTCATCAGTCGCTTTCAACTTCAAAGGCAATCTTGTAGCAATTTGATCTTAATCCGTGCCTCGAATTAACGGAGGAAAACGTGATCGGATTCTGCGATTTGCCATGTGAACTGCGTTTGCGCGAGCAGTTGTGCAATTTTATTAATTGCCAACATGAGTACATTTCGTTAATTTTGCAACCAAAAACGTAGAACAATTTAGCCCAGCTTAAAAACAGGATTATTTTAATGGTATTTGAATATATTCAAGATAGTTTAATTGTTTTTTTTTTTTTAAGATTAAAGTTCTCGCAGCCACTTCAGCACAATCGAGGATTTGCGTAGAAATTTCCTCTTTTTTAATAACTAATCAATCGCGCAAATCCCGATTTTTTTGCAATTTCGGAAAAAACAATAACCGTACTAGCTTAAATTTAAAGTTAGCACAGCCAAAGAAAGAATGCTTATAAAGCGGAACAATAATTAAAAAAAAAAAAAAGAAATAATAGTTGAAAATAGTAAAAAAAAATCACATCTATCCTTTGTCTTATTTTAATAAATTTAGCAAGTAAGATATATATTTAATTCCAAATCGGCTAACTGCTTTAAAAAATTTTAAAAGCTTCCATGTGTTCTTCTGATTTCCTCCAAAGCGACGTCCGATATAAGTTTTATGCTGCGACCGCATCTTTAATTAGGAAGTCAGAGAGGAGAAAAAGGGGAAGACAGGACCAGTCAGAAACGTGACTTGAGAATGACTAGGTTTGCCCCGGGTATAAACAGAGCTATTGTTGCGCCCCGCAATGAGAGAATTCAAGATGAGAGTCACGCCACGCGTAGAAGCTAATTAAGTCAGCACCGAAACCACCGTCGCGGATGCTTTATTAAACTGACGCCAGATGCTCGGCCATAAATTCTCCGTACGGTCACGTTCCAATTTCCGAATTGACCTGCCACGCGCGCAGGACAACGGCGATGGGCAGGAAATGCAACTAGTGCGAGGAGAGCTTCTGTTTTGCGCTCCGTCTCTTATCCGTCGTTGAAATAACGACGTCGTTCTGCGAGAAACATGTACCGGCAACGAAATACTTCTCTACTTCTCCGCCTCTTGGATTCTTGAAATATATGTAGATCTTTGTATCTCAACGAAAAATATGTCAACCTTTTTTATTTTACAAATGAACAATGTAAATTTGCACAAAGAAGAGGCTGTAACACAATGACGCGCGAAGAACCAGTCTTACATCTTGGAAAGATGCATATAACTCTTATCTCGAGCACACACAAAAGTGTGTCGCTAAATTAAGTGTAATGCGCGAATGAGATGCACGAGATTTTCAATTTTTAATTTGACCGTTCTGAAGATTTCAATGGTTTTAAATTTTCATAATTTTTTTTTTACAAACAAAATTAATTGTATACCAAGGAAATTTTTAGTATCAAAGATAATCTATCTTGCAAATCGTAATGAAAACTAATGCAAACGCGTGAGATAATTTTGAAGTGCCTCGTAAACGCAAGCGCATTACCGGGTCGCGAATCGACGTGAAATATAGGCACAATTTCGCCATTTTCCCCTCGTCGTAAAAATACCCCCTGTCGTCGTTTATCTTACTTTTATCAGAACATTCAGACGTTTCTACGAGAGGAGCGTCGTCGATTATCCACTGCGTATACTATATCAAGAGAAATCGCGCCTGTCACTTCGTATCTTTCGTCAATTCGCAAGCACTCGCGAGAAAGACTGTTTCCCCTATTTTAGAATAAATATTCCATGAATATAATATGCGATCAAATAAATATTTAGCATCTGTACGAATCATACTGTATATTAAAGATATCGTACTCATCGCAAAATTGTATGTGCAAATATAATTATCAGTGTATTTGCCAAATTAATGCAGTCAGTTCAGAAAATAATGTAACAATAAAATCAGTTAATCCCAATAAATAATTATGACATATAATGATTATATGACATAAAATATACATATATATATAATATAATAAATATCTCGTGTATCATATTATATTTTTAAAATAATCTTCATATATTTCGCAATTTTCATAATGACACGTTTCATTAATTATTTAATTCTATTTTATATTTATTTTTCTTTAAATGGCACGATGATTCGTATATACGAAAAATAGTTCGTACTTCCTTACTATTTGATTTGTGAATGCATCACGAACGACGCGATGATAGCGACAATATAATCTCATATTGATATCGTATCATTGTGTAGATTATAATATAATGATAACACAAGTCAAATACAAAAATAAATTAAGTTATTAGATTAGTCGCATATATAGATTCACAGGAAACTCACCGGTGAACCGGCGTCGTCACCGTTTCGCCGTCGCCGTTCTATCGCACCGGAGTCCCGGACGCTCCATCCGCAGACGCGAAGTCGAAAAAGGGCCGCTCGAGAAAGCACGATGATCGCAAATCTCAGTTGTTGCGTGGTGATCGTCCTCTCGTTTCCCTCGTCAGGAACTTGTTATACGACACTCCCGATATACTTAAATTACGCGCATTCCGAACGTGCAAATATAACGCGATTATATATAATATGCACGCAACATATATTACGCGCGACAACTTCGACTATCTCGACGAGGGAGGCGACCGACGCGCCGGCAACTTCGCGCCGCGCCGGCAACTAATTCGAACGAACTCGACTGCGTCTACCCGCGACGCCGACCCGAATACCGTCGAGCATTGCACGGCGAATATCACTGTCGCGTAACCTTAATCGCTCCGAAAACAATGATTCGCCCGATTGCCGCCGGTACGCAATGCGCTCGTAAAAAACGAAGAGAAGGAGGAAAAGGATACGCGTCGTTGATAGACGACCCTACAAGTGCCCGGAGTACTTACGACGCGAAGCGACGCGGCGCCGTAATCAGTCCAACATCAGAGAATATGCCTCGTAGCACGCGATCGCGAAGGCTTCGACACGCGGCCGCGGTCGTCTGTCGCTGAATTCGGCACTCCCGATGCCAATCAGCACTTGCTCACACGCGAAATTCATTCTCGATTCGAGAAGAATCCCTGCGGGAGCACACGTACGTCGCACGCGCACATCGGCGGCCGGCCACAATGGACGAGTACTACGCTAGTCAAATGAGGCATTGGGCAACATGACGGCCGTGACGTAGCGCTACGTAGTGGTGGCACTGCGGCTGCGCGAGCCGTGCACGCCGTGCTGTTCACACCCGACGCGATCTTCGCGCGCGGAGCGTCACCCATTCGGGGGGATCGCGAGCAAAGATTTTACCACCGAATATTCTCGATTACGCGGAAAATCAGATCACGAATATAACAATGAAAGATACATTATATCTTCCATCACAATTAGGCACGTTCAGATTCTCACTCAAGTGCCACCCAAGTATTGTATTATCCTTGTTATTCATTGAATGTTAAACAAAGATAACGTGATACACTTGAAGAGCATTCGAATGGGAATCTCAACACGCCCACATATATAGCTCTAAATATTCCGGTAAAAAATTTTTCATATATGTAAGAACATATATGAATATATATAAACATGTATAAAAATATATAATTATATATAATTATACATAATTATATGCAAAAATATGTCCATACATATCAATATATTCTTTTCCTTGTAAGATTATTATTTGACACAGAAAAAAATGATAATAAAAAGAAAACATAAACAATAATTTAAAAAATAATTTGTGCATTGTTTTTTTTACAAAAAATCAAGTTTTAAGAAATGAGAAAAAATTGTTCATATATATAATTATATAGATATTTTTTTAATTATTTATACATAATTATATACGAGCAATTTTTCTCATTTCTTCAAACTTGATTTTTTATAAAAAAAACAATGTAAAAATTATTCTTTTAATTATTCTTTTATGTTTCCTTATTATCATTTTTTTGTATCAAAGAACATATATGGATATACATATGGACATATTTTGCATATAATTATATATTTTTATATATGTTTATATATATTTATATATGTTCTTGTATAAAAAAATTTTTACTGGAATATTCATGGAAGGTATGCATTTTTTAATTACGTGTCTAATAGAAAATATTGTTGCACCATCATATATGTATGAGTTTCCCGACATAATTGTTACAATTGCTAGTTTAATACAATTATTGTAATTATTAGTACACTGTTAACAATATTCATAATATATTATTAGTTTTGCTACAACAGCGATAGAAATTTTCTTTGCGACAATTTGGACAAGCCGCACTCGTTACGCGACCAATCACGGCGCTCATGTCTAATCGCGCTATTAACCAATCACCTCGGGCGTCTCTCTCTCTCTCTCTTGCACGCGCAATGCCACATCGCGACAGTCGCGAAAGCTCCGCATTTCGCGCGCGATTTTTCTCCCGTTTTCGTGACACGAATGAATGTCCGCGAGTTGCCGCAAATCGTGATCCTGCGTATCCCGTCGCGGTAAATCGACGCGAACGATCTTGCCATCTATTCGCGTCCATCGATACTCGATGACCGGCTAAGCGTCGCGCGTTGCCTCGTGTCTCTGCCACCGCGCCGGCCGGTTCGAGGCTAATTGCCATAGGTATGCAAATCCGCCATTGCTGTATCTAGCCCGTAATCTATCGCGATTTCGCGAAGCCGTACACGTGTGTCACGCGTGGAAGGTTGAACCGCCGTGAATTGCTCGGCGAACGCTCGGGCATCCGTTTGACATCGAAAGCATTCGCTCGGCGTGAAGGAGCGCTACGCGTGCGCGATCAAGAATCGAAAACGCCATGCCGCGGTCGAAGGTGAAATCGGGGTTTCGGAGCATCTGATGTCAAGTCTGTCGTCGCGTAAATTTGTTGATCGTTCGGGAGTGCCGAAAGTGACGGGCGATTTTTACGTTAATTCGCGTTTGTGTGTATGTGTTTCGTGTGAACGTCTCAAGCAACGACAAAACAGGCGAGGCAGCGGGGACGGACGGCGACCGGCACGGCGATACATCGGCGGTACATCGGCGCTGGTGAGTATATTCATTCCTCTTACTCGCACTAGTAACTGACTTGTTTGACACTGAATTTGTTCATCTGTTCGCAATTTTGACTATCATTTTAACTCGACTTATGCTCGTGCCGAACGTAGTAATCCAAATGTGACGATCACGAGTGTCGCACTATTGTGGCACTGATCGTCATCCATAAGTGAAACAAACGCAAATAGACAACGAACGAATTATTTATAAATTTTTGTATTGAATGTATATTCTATATAGATATCTTATATATAATACATTTCTTGCTTATCTATATTGCATTTAATATATGTATAAGCCTCTCGAAAGTCAAGCTGATCAAGCAAACAAAACAGAAAAAATAACACAAAGTTGTAAATTACTCGTGTGCTCTTTGACATTAAAACTGAAAGATTTACAAAAAATAGAATTTGATCGGATTCTGAGAGGCTCGTATAACGATGATTAAAGATAAACCGAATGATCTGTTGAAAAATGTCCATTTGTCTTAACGTGAAAACAATTTAGAGGATAACGTAGTCACGAAAGAAATTGTTAAGCAGCGGATTGATAATCGTTTGCTTGATAGTCGTTTTTCGAATTTTTTTCAATCCACTTTCCGAATGAAATATAATAAAAAACGCAAGAATCGATTAGTTCCAGCTCGTGGCATATTGAAATTTTCGTTTTGCGACTGGATAAATGCAAAAAGTGATGACAAATGGCAATAATTAAACGAGAATGGAAATTGGATATTACAAAAAGCTATATTCCCCTGTTATATTAAATGTCTTCATGATGGTTTTAATATTTTCATGATGGTTTTAATATGGTTTCTGTCTTTTATTCCGTTTTAAAAAGACTCTACTATATTTTATTGATTATATTGACTCTTTTTTCTGAACATTCATAAAATGGATTTTGTAATGCAGATTTAATAGCGCAGCAGATTCTTTTTTTAAATATATTTTTAAATAGATTTAATTTTTTTACAGGGAATAAAGATGAGCCTCCAGTAATGTAGCTCCATTTTCGGTGAGTCACATCAATTGCATTCTATTGCATTTTGAATGCAACAAATAATATAAAACTGCAATTGATGTCTTATAAGTTAACGGAACAAAATGAGCATAATCAATTCTAACTAATATATTTATTTATTTATTACTAAAAAGTTACCAAAGAAAAAATTTGTTGCTCCATTAGTTAAAAAAAAAAGATGTTCCGCTAACTTATAAGACGTCTGCAATTGTGTAAGAAAGTAAAAAGCAGGAGCCATTTCTGATTAAAATATCGGAAAGCAGCGTATTATAAAAAAGAACTGTGCGTTCTTCCCTCCCTATTTCGTATAGAATATCTAAAGTAATATTTTAAAATTGACAAATAAATGTGTTAAATTCCTGCCAATTTCTATTAACGATTGAACACTCATCCGTTTAAAGTATAAGGTTATATTACGACCGTTTTACGCGACCTGTTTTCATAAGCTCACTCGTACGCCAAAGTTAAATTGTAAGCTCAACCATGTGCCGCAGAGTCCATTCCGTAGATATAACATCCCGTGAGCGACCACTCCGCGTAAACCTTGTTAAAATCCTCACGCACCCACGACATCGTCCTCAAGTCTATCTTCTCCGGCTTTGCGACCACGACACACTTTTGCGACTGGAAAATTAAAAAGCAACAAGCAAAACTATTTTTTAGGAATTAAAATACGTATAGGGACACGCGCGTATTTAACATTTAGTATTTGTGACACACGCCAATTAAAGAATAATAGAAATTAGATAATTGAGATTTTCTGCTGAAATAGAAATCACGCGTTTGTCTGTTCGACTAGAAATCTTATTTCTGTTAATTCGCAATTTGCAGCATAATGAGAAATTCGAGAATATTTTTAACGAAACGAACGCTGTGAATTTTTTTATCTAAATCGCTATTCTTCTAAATCTTAAATTCTTCTCGCAGAGATTTCGGATGACACACTTTAAATGCGTATTGTTTCGCTCTGAATCTTATCAGACTGGATCAGCACATTGACGTTAGATATACGACAGAAATATATAATTCATGATTCAATCATCATCTCGGTTTTCGAAGGGGACAAAAAAGAAACGCGAGCACTTACTAATCGCCCGCATCCGCGCTCGCTCAGTGCTCTTATTTCGTGCTTTATGGCGGAATATGAAGATTAATAGCCGGCCATTGTTTGCGGTAGTCGGCATCCCCTCTCGTTTCCGCGAAGCGACGAAGTGCGCGAGGGTGGGCCGGGGGGGGGGGGCGAAGGAGGAGGGAGTCGTGGGCTGTTAAGCTTAAGCTAACTCACTTGTCTTGGCGGCGTGAAGGATACACCGAACGACCTTCTAAGCACCGTCGCGGATATTTCACCGGGTTCGAAGATTAAAGGACTCTTGAAGCACCCTCGGGCGAGGGTGAAATGGGCACACGGACCTTGCAGGGGTGAGGGAGATGGGGGATGGGTACCGCCACCCACGATGGACAGCCTGTCCGCCGCGGCGCGACAGGGAGAACGGCGCTGATGAATTCGCGTCGCGAAGAAACCGCTCTCGCGAGGCGTTAACCTTTGCGCCGGGCCGATCTTTATTTTTTCAACAAAATATTCCCGACCAGTGTAACTAAAGTCACCGCGGATCTCGCGTCGCCAAAGGGCTCTCCCTTTCAATATTAGAGCATACTCGAGATCAGAAAGTATAATAGAGGAAAAGTAAATCGGAAAGATATCAAGTTTGCGATATTGGAGTGCACTGTAGAAGGAAAGGAATTTATATTTGACAAAGATTGACAAAGCTCTACGACATAGATAATATGGGATATGTTATTATTTTTTAAGATCACAAGTTTTGCTCTCAAAGATCCACATAATATACATATAACAGAAAAAATGCAAAGAAAAAACTGTGGAGAGAAGATTTATTTATTTTTTATTAATTTTTCTTTGAGTAAAGCATAAATTTCTTTTCATACTTTATCTTTGGAATGTATAGGTTCGGAATTTTATTTTTACATATTAACAATATTGCTAGATATTAAAAGTTACTATCAAAAAGCAAAAAAAATTGAAATCTATATTTATTTGTGATACTCACGCGGTCTAATTCAAATTGTTTATATGAAATATATATTGTTTAAAATAAAATTTATAAGAAAATTTAGGAGGAAGTTTCTCTGAGGACAAAGCTTCGTGAGTTGTTACCTACGCCACTGATTCCTTCGAGGAATATAGACAGAGTCCTCGAGTAGCGTGCGACATTTGTTCCTGGGAATCACTTTAGCTTCATCAAGGAAGCGACGCGTCTGGCCTTTGCAATGAACAATCGCGGTCTCCTGTCCTTCCTTTCAGTTCCGTGCAATTTCTTGCGGCGCGAAATCACGCAGAAATACAGAAATTAAATTGAATGCGAATTAAGTTGAATGTGAAACAAGGAGACGATATACACTGCAAAATTTTCTACTTCGAAGTTAAGGAATTGCAGATATTACAGCAGAGGTAGGCGCATTGGACCGCGCGCGCGCTTCTGTATATGTTTCCAAGTTCTTAAAGTTTTAAGAAAAAACGAGACACTTCATTTATATTTATGAAATGTATTAAACATTTTGCAAATCTATAATTGAAATTTATATTTAATTCTCTATGCAGTTTTACCGAGATGAAATCGATACGAAGGATATAATCTTCCTGCACGAATTAAAATAAAAAGTAATCGCTGTGTTACGCAGTCGTAATCTATATAAATGCTATCTTTAGATTTTCTGCGTGTATGAAAATTAATCAGAGCGTTAATAATGCATTAAAGAATTATGCTAGATTCTAACATATATAAAGATAGAAGAGATATTATTACAAAAGATATTAATACAAAGAAACTTGACGGAATCGCGTTTGCTAAACAGAGAATGCCGTCGTTGTAAATGACGGAAACAGATATCATAAACTTGTGATATCGTAAACTCACGCGATCTGCAAAAAGCACGAGTTACAGTAAACATCTGTCTGTCCACCATTTTCGTTGACTAGGAGCAACTTTTCCACAAGCAAAGCAAGTTTTCTTCATAAAACCACGCATTAGTATCACGCGCTTTGCATATTTTATATCGCGCAATCTCTTTTCTTTTATGTAGAGCAGCTTTTTTTTAGACACGCTACAATTTTTTGACAATCTTTTTTTAAAAAAATTCTCTCGACACGATTCAGTTTTTTGCGCGATTCAGTCAAGTTTCCTTGCATCGCATCTATTTTAATTTACAAAAAAATTCAAAATTTGAGAGTCAGTCATTTAGAGAGATCGTATGTATTATAATTAAAATTAAACGTTGTTTAATGTAAAGTTTTGTGGAAAATCGCGTAGAAAAATCTTTTTTTTAAATCTTTTTATGTCTCTACCTTTTTAATGGGTCGCGCGGAACTTTTTCCACGATTCACCATCTGATTCTGTTCGAGTTCCGCTAAAAAACGAGTCAGTCTCGTAAAAAAAAATACGCCGCGATAGAATGTTGCAGGTTTAGAAGTTAACTTCGCGACCGGAAACTTGAGCGATAAAATTCACCGCCGATTTCACTCGGGGGAGATATCCAACTCTTCTCGCACTCGCGCGCTGCCACTGTCGGCCGATCCGCGCAAGCGTACTCGCGATAAATACTAATTAACCTGCCGTATCGTATGCGAGATAAGGCGAGGCGCGTTCTTTGTTCTCTTGTATCTTGGTTCACGAAACTACAGATCCGAAGATCCCGCGGAAGGATTTTTGCGGAACGGAATTGTATGCATATGGCGCGGCGTCGCATAGAATAACATAAAAATGTGGAATTTAAATCAGGCCGTAACAAGATTCATGAGATTCAATCTGCGAGAGAGCAATATTGTAGAACAAAAAAAATATATGAAAGAGATGGGACTGGAACGAGAAGGCACTATATGCTTTGGACACATATATGCATTAACATGAAATTACTTGCGCTCCCTTTATGCATAGCGTATATAAATACCTTTCACTATTAATCAAAATATGAATTTCAAAATCGAGCGGTTATTTTCCGTTCGAATAATTAAAATTAAACGAACTATAATTAATGTATAATTTCTGTGTGTATTGCAATTACTATATGATTAATATATAAAAAATTAACATATAATTAGTTTCATCAACGAAACTATTTTAATTCCCGCGATTTTTGTAGCATTGAACCGTTTTACGAGTTTATCTAACTGTTATATATATATGACTCTTCCGGGATAAGATCCGTTTTCTATAATAAACCTCGGCGAAACAAGTGTGCACCGAGGCGTGCACCTGCACACCCATGCAATACTCAAGAGGCGAACACCACTTTGGGATATTGCTAGCCCTTCCTAAACTGCCCTTTCATGGTCATCACTTCTTCCTCTGATCTATTATACTCGATACATAATTCATTGCCAAAGAAGCTTCTACGTAGAAGCTGCTTGATTCTACTAAGTAGTTTGAAGTTTGACTTAATATATCTGACAAAAATCCGTGTAAAATATCTGATAATCAGTTTCTTTTACCAGTTGCTTTTAATTTTTACATTAATGTTTTTTTTCAAATAATATCTTTTTCTTCTCAAGCTAAATTAAGAGAGACCATTCGAAATTTAATGTCTGAAATCATGTAAATTAATTCATATAAAATATATCTTTGATATAATTCTGTAAATGTTTAGATTTATTTTAAGCGATGTTATAGCGATATTGTTAGCGATTTCAGCAGAATGTATTAAACTTTGCGAAAAAAGGGCAAAGCTATAACATATATTTAACTAGTGTTAGCTTTGCCTAGTTTATTTTCTCTTGGTCTCGATTGTACTTTCTATGTTAAACTTTCGTTCGAAAGTTTCATTTTACTATGGACCAAGTTTTATCTCATGAAATCTTGATCGTATAGATTTTTCCGTGCAATATGTTTCCGTGAAAAAATACAAGGCGAAACTATACAACAGATGTTTGCACAATTGAGATTGCATTTCACGGTGGGTGCAACGCGTAAACTTAAGTGTAT